GAAGCCCTTTTGAATTATTTGCATCTGTCTAAAGGTATTGTCCCCCTTAAAATAGAAAAAAAAAGGTAAATAATTAATCCCGTAATGCAGTGTGTAATTTCAGAGTAAATCTAGAAGCTTTCGGTAAATTACAGAAATTTATAAAACAGACAGATTCGATGTTCGATAATGGTTCGATTGAAAAAGTTTGCGAGGGGTCGTAGTGAATAACCATATCGAACACCATAGAGTCGCGACCTTTCACCATCCGCCACTATTCTACGTGGGGTCCATGGGGCCTTCCCCTTTTTTGCAGACGATCGTTTCATCGGCAATAGCTTCAAAAGGTTCAAAAGGTAATGCAGAATTTGAGCCAGACCACTCGAAGGATTCATCTTCACCCTTCGAACCCTTTCCTCTCTCTCTCGCCCCATTTTGCCAATCCATTTAAGAACATAAAGCTGTTCAGTAACTGGATGTTTTCTTTCTCGCGATGCGGCTTCCAGAATTGGAAATGGCGAGCTGAAAGGCTTCCGCTCTTGATGGATGAAATTTACTAGACTGTATCGTTAATCGCAGCTAAGTTGATGGGTTTCTTAAACGCCTCTTGCCTTCCTTAATTCTATTACGATGCTGGCGCTCGAGTTTCGATTAGAAATTCAAATGGGGTGATGTATGGACATTTGAGAGAATTTGACTGGTTTCGAATTTTATATATTTTTGTGAATTTTGCTGAATCACATCGTGACGCACTTCTAGGACAGATGACGCACCTCGTAATTACATGAGGATTAAATTCTGAGTCAAAGATTGTTAAAATATATTTGACATTTCTTTTAATTTATCTTGACATAACAATAATAATTTGAATGGTGAATTTTGCTGAACTCTCATCGTGACGCACTTCACACTTCAAATGACGCACCTACCTTGTAATTGCACACGGATTAAATTCTGAGTGAAAGATTGTTAAAATGTACTTGACATAACAATAATAATTCGAATGGTCAATTTTGTTGAATTCTCATCGTGACGCACTTCTAGGTCAGATGACGCACCTTGTAGTTACACGAGGATTAAATTCTGAGTGAAAGATTGTTACAATTTACTTGACATAACAATAATAATTCGAATGGTCAATTTTGTTGAACTCTCATCGTGACGCACTTCTAGGTCAGATGACGCACCTTGTAGTTACACGAGGATTAAATTCTGAGTCAGAGATTGTTAATATACTTGATATTGAATTTATTGAACATTACACTGTATCAAACTTGAAATTCCACCACTGTGTTTACAAACTACTTCGACTACATTAGATCCACATAAATTTGCCCACATTCTGAAGTGTCGCCTAACAAGAAAGTAATTACGTTTCATTAGAAACGCCAGCAAGCGTGGCACGATGACCCGAATAAGGTAGGTCAATTAGAAATCCGTTAGCGTGACCCGAGAGCGTGGCAACGCTGTAAAAACGAGCTTTTCAAGACGGACGCGAAAATCGAGCGCAAAAAGCGTGGCGAAGTCACGGAGCTTCCCAGGGTTCGAAGCAAACATCGCTGTCTTTCTCTCTCATCCAGCTCGGTGTGCAAATTTGAACGGCTGAAAACTCGTGTCAGCGCCCTCTAAAGCAACCTCTCACCCCTTTTGTATCCACATCCCTAACTCTCTCGACGTCTAGCTCTAGCCGGGGTTCAACCGGATGGTTCGCTTTCATCGAGTCGAATCCTGGCCACTTCCGGATGCCGTGAGTCTGTGGAACGTCTGACGTTGCTCGACGAGTGCGAGTTTCACGTCCCTCGTTTCAATATTCATTAGGTCTCCACCCCGCAGGATTTTAATCCGCGCTTTTCTCCTCATCGGACACCGCTTTTTTCTAACGGGTTAACTGCTAACTCGGTTGCGGTAATTAGATTGATCTATCAATAGGGTAGTTTGATAGTTTAATTTCGATAGTTTTTACCTTTCTCAACAATTACGTTTTAACTGATTATTATTGTCATGTTAAGATAAACGAAAAAAATGTCAAATATATTTTAACAATCTTGACACAGAATTTAATTCTTGTGTAATTGAAAAGTAGGTGCGTCATCCGAACTGTGAAGTGCGTCACGATCTGACTTCAGCAAAATTCACAAAATATATAAAATTTGAAAACTGTAGAAACTCTCTCGACCTTACATCCACTGTTCCCATTTGAACTATTATTGTTATGTTAAGATAAACGAAAAAAATGTCAAATATATTTTAACAATCTTGACTCAGAATTTAATTCTTGTGTAATTACAAGGTAGGTGCGTCATCCGAACTGTGAAGTGCGTCACGATCTGAGTACAGCAAAATTCACAAAATATATAAAATTTGAAAACTGTAGAAACTCTCTCGACCTTACATCCACTGTTCCCATTTGAACTATTATTGTCATGTTAAGATAAACGAAAAGAATGTCAAACATATTTTAACAATCTTGATTCAGAATTTAATTCTTGTGTAATTGAAAAGTAGGTGCGTCATCCGAACTGTGAAGTGCGTCACGATCTGACTTCAGCAAAATTCACAAAACATATAAAATTTGAAAATTAGAAATTTCAACAGATACCCTTACATCCACTGTTCCTCGTTGACGCTAAAACAGCAGCCATTGCTTTCTGTCTCAGTCTCCGTATTCGTTAAAAAAATTCTATAACGTAAAATTTATCTATTCTAAACTCATATACTCTACCAAAATTTCTTCTCCATATTGATCCCCGATTTCAGAGTAACTATCGAAGCGATTGAATCATTGATACCCACAGCGATATTTCACTCGATTCTTTTGGACGTTTGAGGGAAAATCACTGGAAACTCAAATAAAATTTGACGGGTTTTGATGTTTGACGCGAATCAGAATGTGCTGACACGCGATCTGGGTGAACAAAGGGATAATACCGACGGATTCCTCTTTCACAGTCGTCGCGTCGCTAAGCGTCGCAACGGTAAAAAGAACTAACAATGAAATAAGCAGCTCCGCGCTAAATCCCGTAATGTACACTCAACGGAGAATTTCCCTTTCTGGGAAAAATGTGGTGATGAAAGGGTGAAAGCTTTCGGTCGATTTTTTCAAATTTTTGCAAAGGGTATTTACGAATTTAAATTTGGTAAGTTCAGGATTTGGGAGTTTATGAATTTGAGGATTTAGAAATTTGGGAATTTATGGATTTGAGTGTTTAGGAATTTCAGAATCTAAGGATTTGAGAGCTTAGAGATTTCAAAAAGTAAAATTACAAGAATATAAAAATTATAGAACGTAATTTAGAAATCAGATTTGAAGGTCCACAATTAGAGATCCAGGAAAAATTAGAGATACAAGAATCTGCAAGCCTAAAAATTCTATCTAGTGATCCCAAAAACTTGCAAGACCTGTAAGAAAATAAAAAATAGAATATGTCCACTAAAAAATTAAAATGTCCACCAAAAAATTAAAAAATCGTCAAACTAACCTACGTCTCCATATAAATTACATCCCCAACTTTCTCGCCCTTAATTAAATCCGATACATATACTTCCCACAAAACGTGTGTTTCCAACAAAACCCAGGGAAACACTTTTCCAGTAAATTTGCGTTTGATCGGTCAGTAACAGGGAAAGCAAAATATAAAAATAGAAGGAGGCCGGAAAGCACCGATGAATGAATAACTCGACGCCATTCTACGGATCGGCGATAAAGCCGAACGTAAAACTGTCAAACGCCTAAATAAAATCGGCCATGCGTGCGAACGTGCGAGAGTGTGTGGGTTACGTCGCTTCAAGAAGAGTTGTTGCGAATTCGAGGGTCACTGTGGTTGTTAGCGAGAAATCTGTGATTTGTTGGACGTTCGTCCAGCGCGATGCAAGAATAATGCCGGGTTACAATGTTCTGCGCAAACCCCATTGAACATTTTCGAAATTCCGACACCGTGAAACGAGTTTTGCACGGTCTGCACTTTTAAAACTTGCAAAAATGTTGCTATCTGGTAGATATGTGTTGTGGACAAATTATGTCTGTGGATAGGGAATTGAGATATTAGATGAAGTATTTATTCCCACACGTGTGGAACATGTATGGAGACATGTGTGGACTTCATGACAAGTTTCACAAAATGGCGCTTGCTGTATGCCAATTTAAAGTTTGATGTACAAGGAAAATAGAAAGGTTCTGTGTGAAGGGTTCATTAATATGTTTAAAAGAAAATGACTTGCCAGGTCATGCTGAATATGCGAAATGTAACAAGGTTTGATGTGACAAGGCTGCCATGTACCATACATGATGTCACATATGATTCAGCCATTTTGTGTCAAGAACGTTCGTGAAATATTTATGCAGACATTTTCGATGAATATCAAGCTTCGGTCTGATGCATCACAAGTGCCATTATGTGATAGATCAAAGTACTATTATATAATATGTTAAAGGACTATTATGTGATATGTTAAAGTATCACATATGTTACTGCAGTAATTACTCTGCAACTATTACTACAAAACGTGCTATTTACCAAGACAGTAATCTTTAACGTCAGGGTTAAAAGAGAGCCCAGATTACGTGACGTAGGTCTCACATGCACCAAGGGTGTTTCAACGCCACTTCAACTCTCTTCCCTTTTGGAGGGCAGCTTTTCACGTATCTGTGTTCGGAATGTTGTCTCTAATCAACGTTCATTAAGCCACCGAGTACAGATGACACAAAATGTCAATCAACCAAGTTCATACAGCAACCCAATTGCTGTTGTGATCAGTACATTTTATTTCCTCTGTCTCATTGTTTATATTTTACGAATGTAAACCTTGTATTATGAAATCTGGAAAAATGTCTAAATTCATATTTCAAGATGTGTAAATGAAATATTTTGCAAAATATGTGCAAAATGTGCAGATTCCAGTATCCCAGAGTCCACATTAGAGTAGCGGTGAGAGAAAAACGGGGTCAAACTCTAGCACCAGAGTTTGAGAATGTCATTCGCATTCAAATTTTCCAGTCTCTAACGCGGTCTTTGCCTTTGCAGCTGAAAGCGTTTTACGTGGACCTGCTGGTGCCCCTCGAGACGAATCTGGAGAAGGACACGAAGGTGGTGCAGGTGAGTATCTCATACCTCGATATCTTGATCGGTGGACTGAATAATTCACCCATTACAGAGCGAGCAGAAGAAGTTTCTGCAGCAGCACAAGGCCAGATCCGAAACTTACAGCAAAGCGGCGGCGACCATGAAGAAGCAGAGGAAGAAGTCTAAAGGCGCCAGCAAGAGTGGACTAGCGATGGACAAAGAGCTGAAGAATATGCAGATTCTCGAGGAGGAGAAGTCCAAGCTGGACGCCTTTTGTGAACAGAGTTTGAAGAACGTAAGTGTGCGAAAGCAGGACACGCTCGACAGCAACATCCATATTTGCCGACAAGCGACAAGAATTCTGGATCGAGATTAATTAGGCGGAAGAATCGGGGTCGATGAACGGACAAGATTTCGAGCGTACGCTTCTCTTTTGCAGGCGATGACACAGGAGAGAAGAAGGTACGGCTTTGTTCTGGAGCGACAGTGCTCGTTGGCGAAACATTATGCGAGTTTTCATGAGGTCGCGTTAGCCGCTCTTCATCCCTCCGTTGATAGGTGGCGCGAGGTTGCCGCCACCAGGGAATACTTGCCACAGTCCGTGGAAGACATGTTCGCTTCCAGGCTCAGGGTGAGCGATGCTACCGATATTTCATGCTTATACTTCGTCAAATTTGTTGCACCTTCAACGGTTCACACGAGGGCACTTGAAAAATTACTACCTTTAGTACTCGCTTTAATTTCACTTGATGTTGCTAATGTTTACCTTTTTACTTACATTTCTAAATTGAAACTTTTTAAGGATTGCATCAAATGTAACTCAAGCTCCAATTATCTAATAATCTGCTGGTGTTAACCTTTTTTACTTGTATTTTAAAATTGAAATTTTTTGATCACAGCAACAAATGATACTCAAGCTTCAACTACACAATTATCTGCTAATATTAACCTTTCAACATTCATTTTTAAAATTGAAATTTTTTGAGCACAGCACCAAATGATACTCAAGCTTCAACTATCCAATAATCAGCTAATATTAACTTTTCAACATTCGTTTTTAAAATTGAAATTTTTTGAGCACAGCACCAAATGATACTCAAGCTTCAACTACAAAATAATTTGCTAATGTTAACAATTTTTACTTTTATTTTAAAATTGAAATTTTTTGAGCACAGCACCAAATGATACTCAAGCTCCAACTATGAAATAATCTGCTAACGTTACCATTTTTTACTTTCATTTTAAAATTGAAATTTTTTGAGCACAGCTTTAAATGGAACTCAAGCTTCAATTATACAATAATCTTAAAATTACAGGATTATTTCTAACACTTTTATAATGTTGCCAGTAAGATTGAAAATCTGAACATCTCAAAGTGTAAGACATTTAAAAAATGTACAAACTTCCCAAAGTCTGAAAATGCTTCTTCCTTTTAACGTTTCCATAATTTTGCTACCAAGGTTGAAAATCTGATCTTTTCAAAGTAAAACATTAAAAAAATGTACAAACTACCAAAGTTTGAAAGTGCTTCTTCCTTCTAACATTTTCACAACATTGCCAGCAAGGTTAAAAATCTAAACATCTCAAGGTGTAAAACATTAAAAAAATAATATAAACCCAAAATGAACTTCCAGAACCAACCCCAACTTCCCAAATCTCAATGTCCTTAACAAAAACTAAAAAACTATAACTTTTTAAAAATTATGACATGAAGAGAAAAATTATTTGTGAAAGATTGCAAAGTGATACAAAAACGACTGATCGAATTTTTCTTTATACAGCAAGTGTCGTTCTGGCCGGAGGACGAAGAGAACGGAGGATCAGAGTTGACGATGAGTTCGCAACTAAGGAAGACCAGGAGTATGGACAGCTCTTGCTTGGAACTTCGACCCGGACCTCCTTCCGGAAACGTGCCAAGTGCCACTTATCAAGGCCCTTCTTCGCATCTTCCCACTGCTCTGTCTAGAGCAAGGTCAGAGGCCAATCTCCACGCCTCCACGTTATCATTAGATCCAGGTAGGTCAACTGTGTGTATACATTAACACTTGCTGTGAGGACGTGACAACTTCAAATATTATTTCTGTTTTCAACTGCATTTTAGTGTTGTTTACTACATTTAGTGGACATAGTGTTGTCTACAACTTCAAACTTGGGTGTATTTGTAATCGAAAGGTCTAATCAATAATTTGATATATGAGAGAATTTTTCAGAATTTCTGTCCATGTCAAACTCTGTACAGGGTCATTCCTATATTTAAACTAGATTGAAGTGTTTTTAAATTCTAAACCCTACTTGAGACCTTACATGAGACCCCAATTTAAAGAGTCCTAAAATCCAACAATACATCATCTTTAAATATCCACCCTCATTTATCTGAAAGCTAACCTTCAAGTCATAATTGAATTTGAAGAATTTTCGTTTAGACCCCAGTAAAATATTGAAGACTAAAATTAGTGTCCAGTGATTTAAAAGTCTAGGGAATACAATGACAGAGAAGGTGTCAACGAATTTCGTCTGCCATCGAATGATATCTCGTAGAAAGCTCATTCGCCGAAATCCTTCCACTCGATCCAGTGTTCCTAATATCCTCTTGCGCCACGTGCAAGTTACGAGAGAAATGAGCCGGGTAATCGTTTCTCTGCTCGTATTTCCAGAGGTCCCGGAAACACCACCAAGGCCGAGGTCTATGGCGCCCCCAGCATCGCGCAACAGCGGTAGCGGTGGTGGCGGTGGCAGTGGCACGGGGGTGAGCACCGCCGGATGGGGTGACGCACCCCTTGCCAGGGCTCTCTTTGCCTATTTGAGCTCCGGGGAAAATCAGCTGAGTTTCCTGGAGGGCGATCTCATCGCGTTGATGGGTGAGTGCTGCATGTGTCTGAACCAGGAACATGAATACCTCTATAATCTTGATACCGATGCGATCTGGATAACGGTATTGGACAAAGGCATGCTGAAACTGTTAATTATAACGCTGACGAAAGCACTGTTCGTTAGGAGGTGGTTCAGTTCGGGAATTTCGGGATTTGGAATGGAAATTGGGGACTGGAATTGGGGATTGTTTAGAATTTACGGGAGAGTACATAGGGGAGAGTTTGGGAATTTTGGGAAGATAGAGATTTGGGGTTTGGGAATTTAGAGAAAGATTTGGGAATTTTAGGAATTCCGAACGGTGAAATTTTTGAGATATAGAAATTTTGGGGATGTAGGGATTTGGGGACGTAGAGATTTGGAAATATTGAGTAATTTGAAACGGTGGAATTTTGGGGGTTTAGAAGTTTGGAAGAGTAGGAATTTGGGGACATAGAAATTTGGGAATCTTGAGAATTTGGAACGATAGAATTTTGGGGATTTAGAAATTTGGGAACATAGGAATTTGGGGAGATAGAGAATTTTGAGTCTAGGGAATTTGGAACCCTGGAATTTTGTCAATCTAGAAATTTGGGGAAATGGCGATTTGAAATTCTAGGGAATTCGCAACTATGGAACTTTGAGGATCTAGGAATTTGGGAATGTGGGAAATTGGGGATATAGAAATTTCGGAATCTAGGGAATTCGGAAGGGTAGAATTTTGGAGATCTAGGAACTTGGGAAAATAAATTCGGTAATCTAGGGAATTCGGAAGGGTAGAATTTTGGAGATCTAGGAACTTGAGAAAATAAATTTGGGAATCTAGGGAATTCAGAACGGTGGAATTTTAGAGGTCTAATTATTTAGTGCTCTAGGAACTTGCGAACTTAAAAAATTGAAAGCACACAAATTTTTATATCCAAAAATATAGTCTAATTACGAATATAGAAACTTGAAAATTTCTCTACTTAGAAATCTAGGAATTTGAAAATCTCTAAATTTAAAAAATCTTGAATTTGAAAGTCCAAAAACTTCGAAACGAAAATAATTTGATTGAAGTGACCCGAACTAAAAGAGAAATCAGTAAATTAGGAAAACTATGGCGGACTTAAATTGCACAGGGGGCTGTTCATTACACAACTTTCCAGGATACCTACGACCTACTTACTTTATAGAGGTTTTAACAACCCCTACAATTAAAGTAAGCTTGCCTTCAAGTGTTTTCCTAGTTTACTTCTCAATTTGGCACACTGACAATCTGGTTCTATAGTCCTTCGCAACTATGGAACCTTCAGTCTCAACTACCCTTTTATTCGCGTTGAAAGGGTGCGGAGGACGAAGTTCTAGATTTTAAACTATTTTACTTCGTATACCTTCATACTGTTACCTGCAGGAAACCTACCTTAAAGTGTACTATGCAAGTGTACTTAAAACATTATTAAATTAATATTTTTAATTAAAACTTTCACTTCAACCTTCAACTTTTATCCTATAACCTTCATCATTTTTACTGCATTCACATTTTCTTCGAAATCAAATTAAATTTGATTTTCTGATATCGTTCATTTGTCTGTCAAAGTTAAAAATACTGACAGCAAGTTAATTGTAAAATTAATTGCAAGTTAATTAATAGCAAGTAAATTTAACAAGTTATTAAAGGAGTAATAGGGTAGTTTAATAGAGTGGTTTCCTGCAGCAGTAATCTGCGAATCTGTCGAACTGTAATTCGCGTAGCCATAAAGTAGTATCCATAAACGATATTTGTGTTTAACCGAAACTGCCTTATTAGGAGATCGTCAGAAGGGCTGGCAATTCGGGGAGAATCTCCGCACGCAAAGTTCCGGATGGTTCCCACTGGCGTACACAGAAATTATTGTCGACGATGGCCCGGGGTAAGTTAACACAGAGTCAGGGAAGTCTGAGCTTCCGTTTCGAGCGAACGGTATCGGCACAGATCTTGTTACGATTGTTCCTTGCTAACAATTGCACCGGCTCGAATGCAATTACGCTAATCTAAAACGATAACGGGCAATGGCCGACGTCGATACGGCTATTCCCTATTAAACGTACTCGTCTTGCTGTTATTGTTCGACCTCCTAAATCTCCGTGTTTCGATGCTCGAACTATGCTATCGCGATTGAAATTTTACGGCGGATCCTGAACGTCGAATCAACGTGAACTATCGACTATTCCCATGGAATAATGGCGATATAAAAATGTTAATTTCGCGTTCGAGGGTTTAAATCCTCCGCTGGGCAGTAGCCTCGCGAGAGCATTTTGTTACCGATGATTCCTCGATCTTCCTCGTTTACGCTTCTGTGGTACATCAGGACTGAAACGATATTTTACTGAAAATTATTAACTCTCATCGCGCTTGTCTAATCGTCAGCCATTTTGTTCTTGAATTTTTACGATATCTATTCAAAATTTTCTAAGCAGCACTACTATTGGTTCAGTCGTATTCACCGCACTTTTGAAATAAGACACCTTGTTCCTGAATCGTTGAAAATATCTCGAGGGTTGTTTATTTCCATAGAGTGACACGAATAAACGAAAGTGAATTACAACGAAACACGATTAAACAAGTACAAAATGAAAGCAGAAACCGAAGCGATTAAGCGCAGGTGAACCTGAAGTAAACGATAATTAACGCCGTTGAACCTGAAATAAATGAGGATTAAACTTGCGCGAGATGATTAAACGAATTTAATTCCGTGACCGTTAAAAGGATAAATAAAAATGGACGGTGACAAACGATGTCGTGACCCCCTGACGTTTTCAACGATTCAGATTCAATCAATGTCGTTAGCGTTATCACTAAAATCAAATGTACGATAACACGTGAAGATCGCCGAGTCACGGTGCAAACAATGGTCGGGCATCGGAGCCGCAGGCAGTTCCACCCTGTAAGCCTCCACCCTCTAGGCCGCCAGTGACACCGAACAGCATGGATGAAGTGTCGAGTGGATTCCATGGGGTTGGAAACAACGTCAACAACAGTAACAACAACAGCAACGCCTCTACTCATGTACAGAATAGTAACAGTTATCACAATCTGGCAACACCCACTGCACGTCAGACTAAACCGGTGAGGATCACTTGTCTCTTAAATATTATGTACATATGTTCAAGGTTATACTTGGTACAAGATTATAGTGAGGTGATGACGGAGGGTTTGCAGATTTTGGAATTGGAGGAGTTGGGGATAGATGGTTGGTGGGAAGTTTGGGTAGTTGGGGGTTGGGTTTGGAAATTTGGGATGGTGATTTTGAAATTTGGGGATTTGAGGGTTTGGGGAGTTGAGACTTTGGGAATTTGGGGATTTGGGAATTTGGGGATTTGGGGATTTGGGGATTTGGGGATTTGGGGATTTGGGAATTTGGGAATTTGGGGATTTGAGGGTTTGGGGAGTTGAGACTTTGGGAATTTAGGGATTTGGGAATTTGGGGATTTGGGAATTTGGGGATTTGGGGATTTGGGAATTTGGGAATTTGGGGATTTGAGGGTTTGGGGAGTTGAGACTTTGGGAATTTAGGGATTTGGGAATTTGGGGATTTGGGAATTTGGGGATTTGGGAATTTGGGGACTTAGAAATTTGGAGATTTGAGAGTTTCTAAATTTGGGAATTTGGGCATTTGAGAAGTTGAGACTTTGGGAATTTAGGACGTTGGAAATTTGGGGATTTGGTGATTTGGGGAATTGAGTGTTTGGAAATTTGAGAATTTGGGGACTTGAGACTTTGGGAATTTGGAGAATTCAGTGCTTGAAAGTTTGGAAATTTTGGGGATTTGGGGCCTTGAGACATTGAAAATTTGGGGATTTGAGGGTTTGGGGAGTTGAGACTTTGGGAATTTGGGGACTTGGGAATTTGGGGATTTAGGAATTTGGGGATTTGAGAGTTTCTAAATTTGGGAATTTGGGGATTTAGGATTTGGGGACTTGAGACATTAGTAATTTTGGGAATTTAGGACGTTGGAAATTTGGGGATTTGGTGATTTGGGGAATTGAGTGTTTGGAAATTTGAGAATTTGGGGACTTGAGACATTGGGAATTTGGAGAATTCAGTGCTTGAAAGTTTGGAAATTTAGGTATTTGGGGCCTTGAGACATTGAGAATTTAGGGATTTGATGGTTTGGAAATTTGGAAATTTAAGGAAATAGGGAAGTAAGGAACTGAGGAATTAGGGAACTGGGAAATTATGGAACTGGAAGTTTGGGTATTTGTGAATTTGGGGAATTAGGGATTGGGAAGCTCATATTTAAATACGACGATAACAAACAAAGCTACGTAAAGCTTAAGTCTACCAAACAGCAAAGATATCAAAATTTGCTCTGAAGAGAAATTTGACCAGAAGAGTGATGTTCTCATCTATTTTCCTATGAAATGAACTAATAACTGTACATTTTAGATCCGTCCATCGGGCACGTTGCCCACAGTTTTGGCCGGTGGTCGTAGGATACAACCACCTGCTCCGCCTGTGCCGCCTCCTCAGGTTGTGACATCTCTGCACAGCAGCAACGACAGTGGTTTCTCGAACGAACCACCGGCTCAACCTGATATCGATTACAGCGATGACGAGGCTATGAGGTAAGCGATCGCCATAAAATTCCATCGGATACCTTCAAGACTCTAATACAATGGTTCTCAACCTTCATGATACACAAATTTTATCACATCTCAATATAGAACCTGTTCAAGTTTAATAACTGCTCGAACAATTTTAATTTGCTGACTGAAATTATTTTGTCTTCAACGTACTGTCAAATTTTATCATATTTTAATATAGAAGGTTAAAGTTTAATTGCTTAAACAATTTTAATTTGCTGATTGAAATTATTTTGCCTTTAATGAACACTCAAATCTTATCACATCTCAGTATACAACCTGTTAAGGTTTAATTGCTGAAATAATTTTAATTTGCTGATTGAAATTATTTTGTCTTCAGCGTACAGTCAAATTTGATCACATCTTAAAATATAAGGTTAAGGTTTAATTGCTGAAACAATTTTAAATTGCTGATTGGAATTATTTTGTTTAATTGTAAATTTAAGCTGAGCTATGATTATCAAAAATTTAAATGTAAATTTATTGTGTAGAAGCTAGTTGTCTATCTTGAAACGAATTTTGAAGTCAAACTTCAAGTTTGATCAAACAAGTGCACTAAAGGCAAATTGTCTATGTTGATAAATTTGAATACTAATATAAAATATTGCTTAAAGACAAAATTATCCTAATAAGAGAATCAAGTTAAATAAAGAAGCAAAATAAAGTAAATAAATATCCTAATAGAAATCAAGATAGAAACAACACAAATATTTCCCTAAATCCTAAATCATAGTCCAGGTTGAGAACCAATGCGCTAATCGAATGAAATAGGGGATAGTCGACAATTGCTGGCAAACTTGTAGAAACGCTTTTGCCTGATTCGTCAACTTCAAGCTTTGTATATTTTGTTCCTGCTATAAGTATTTCGTCTTGGTAATCGGTATCTTCCTAATCAATGTTCAAATCAAGGAACGTAGATCAGTAGCTTATACGAATCTAACGACCTTATTCGATTTCTCATAGAAAACGGAATGTTGCATGTCTACAATTTACGGATTCCATTAATATTTTATGCATCCCTGTATTTATACTGTCCAAATTTTTCGTTAATTATTTTTAACGTTCCAGTATCCATTGTTTCTTGGATTTTCAATTTAATTTGAAACAGATTTGATGGAAAAGTAAGCTGTCGGCTGTTAAATAACATACTTGAAAAATTAGTGTTATTCCATAATTGATATTTTGCACTCGATTGTCTTGTTTGAGGAAACATTTTAAATTGCAGAATAAATTTTCGGAGTGCAAAGAGTTACTGAAAAGCTTATTGTGATAGGAAATAAAAATATCAACAATAGAGAAGTATACTTCATTCTGATTTCAAATTTCTTACAAGAAAACGCTATTTTCAAAGAAGTGTCATCAACCTAAAGTGGATACTGGAGCTAATCCTCTACATATTGTACAAATCTCCCCGTGTAATTTTAGCTTGACCTTCCCGAAAAATTAGGCAACCAAGTAGGACTTGACACGAGAAAATACCCGAAATTCCCAGCGCCTACCCCGTAAGCGTACAAAGTCACGACGTTGTTTTCTCTCCTGATTTGTAGATTCCGCATGCGTTATCGTGGTCGATGGAAATAAAATACGGCGTGGTGGTGGCTCATTCACCTCTCCAGGCTCCCGGCGATGCCACATATCCCGATCCCCGGCTATCGCAAAAGTCCGCGACCACAAAGCTCGAACCGCCTAACTAATCGTCCATACTCTTTGGCTCTTTGGTTCTCTTTCTTTTCTATCTCCGCTGCACTCTTCTCTTCTTCTCTTTCTTTTTACTCATCCTGAGCCCGAACGAAAACGCAGACAACGCCGAAGAAAGCCGCGCGCCGATAGGATAACCGAGCTGACGAAGCAGCAGCAGAAGGAGGAGAAGTCCAGCAAGGACTGGGAGAACGACTCGTGGAAGACGATCCCCAGGGACGAGAAGAGCTGGCACCTTTACAGAACCGCGATGGACATCTGGGCGGAATCGAACGTGAACCAGGCGAACGAGAACGGCGACAGATACTCCAATCGACATTACGAGAACCAGGAGCGCAAGAACAGGGAGTTTGATCGCGCCACCATGGAGAACGGACCGTCCAGGAAATCCGTGCAGAAGGCGCAAGAACGAGCGCAGAAGAACGAGTACGAGAATCGTGGTCGGGCGAATACGGGCCGCAAGAACAAGATGAGCGAGGAGCAGAGAAAGCCTACCAGAAGAAACAACGAGGAGGAGCGCCGCGAGGCGAAAAGAACGAAAGAACAGGAAGAAACCGAGGAGGAGATCGAATTAGAGGAGGAGGAAGAGGACAACTACAGCAGCCGGATCGAGTATCAGAAGTACGAGGGAAAGAAGTATTACGGGGACAGAACGGATGGGCAAGAACGTAATCCCCGACGCGGCTATCACCCGCTGCCGCAAGAAGACTCGAAATACGAAAACGAGAAAACTTCTTCAGCCACGTCTTCGGGCACCGACGACGAGAGCACCATTACCATTCCGGAAACGGGCAGGAAGGTGGAGCACATCGCTCAGAAGCTGGAGCAGACGGCGCAGAAGTACGCGAGGGAACATAGTCCGCCAAAATTCATCGAGAGAAGAAACGATTACAGAAGTCTGGAGCGGAGAGAGGAGAAACAGCCGCCGCCCCCGTACGAGAGGTACAACGACGAGAGGAATCGCGCGCCGCAGAGATACGAGCGTGAAAGGGAACGTTACGAGAAACCACCCGCCCAGAAGACGAATACGTACGAGAGGGAGAGGACGTTCGAGAAGAATCCTGACAGGAACAGAAACATTGAACGCGCGTCGAGTCGCCGCTTCGAGAGACCTAGGCCTCCCTCGGAGGAGGCCCCGGAGAGACCCACGGAGCCCCGGAGTATGTACAGGGAACGTCGGTACTCCGACAAGGAGGAGGCGATATATGGAGAGACCAAGTTCGTTCGGGAGACCGTGTCCGTGGACAAGGAACGCGGCTACGAGTCGAATTTCGAGACGAAACTAGAGAGGACCAAGGTGATCGAGAGGCACGGTTACCAGAACGCCCTGGTGCAGGCCAACCTCCAGAAGTTCCAGAGAAACGGACCTCAGAGTCTGGAGAAAAACGACACGAACAACAACACGCTGAAGGACGAGAACCGGAAGCCGCTGCTGCCACGGCAGACGACCGCAGTGGGTCACCTGATACAGACCGGCAGAGCCTTCGATGTGGACTCCAAGAGTCCCAAGCTGGTCAAGAGGACTAAGTCTTTCTGGAGGTTCAGGAGGGACTCGGAGGTGTTGGAGGGTATGGCGCTCTGGCAGCACAGATCGCTGGTGGACATCCCGAAGATGATTAAGAAGGAAACGAAGGAGGATGCCAGCTCCGAGGAGACCAAGAAGCAGAGTCCCGAGGGGAGCCCCACTTCCCGGCAGAGTCTCGAGAAGAGGAACAGCGACGTGACGATCACGAATGACCCTCGTCAGGACGAACCTAAACCCGCTGAAAGGATTCACGTGCCAGACAAGTCTGATTACTTCGAGGACTTCCCGACTCCGGCGGAGAGACCGAAGGCCGTGGAGAGGTCCGAGTACAGAATGCACCAGGAGGAGAGATCTTATTTCATGGGGAACGTCTCGAGGAAAGCGATCATCGAGAAGGAGCGAAAACGCAGCCTCGAAGCTAAACGCAACATGATCGTGGCGGAGCTGAAGGAGAACAATGAAGCTAAAAGGAACGAGAGGAGAAAGAAGTACACGGATGACGAGGATGGTTTGACCCAGAATTTTAGCGAAACGGAGGCGTCGGACGAGGAGTCCACGTACAGTTGCATAGTCGTCAAGGACCAAACGGTGGCGGAGAAAACTCTTCTTCCCAGGACTAAACTCCGTAGGGACTCCGACCGGGAGAGGGATAAAAATACTTGTGGACCTTGGTACGACCTCTGGGGGGTTGACGCCTCCGTGAACAAGAAGAAGAAGAAGAAACAGCAATAAATCTATTGCATTCGCATGGTTCGACTTGTTGAAATCGATAGATATGCGTATACGAGAGTTGATCATGTTTTAAAGTTTATTCACGTTGTTTCGTTGAACCGACAAGGAGGAGGCGATATATGGAGAGACCAAGTTCGTTCGGGAGACCGTGTCCGTGGACAAGGAACGCGGCTACGAGTCGAATTTCGAGACGAAACTAGAGAGGACCAAGGTGATCGAGAGGCACGGTTACCAGAACGCCCTGGTGCAGGCCAACCTCCAGAAGTTCCAGAGAAACGGACCTCAGAGTCTGGAGAAAAACGACACGAACAACAACACGCTGAAGGACGAGAACCGGAAGCCGCTGCTGCCACGGCAGACGACCGCAGTGGGTCACCTGATACAGACCGGCAGAGCCTTCGATGTGGACTCCAAGAGTCCCAAGCTGGTCAAGAGGACTAAGTCTTTCTGGAGGTTCAGGAGGGACTCGGAGGTGTTGGAGGGTATGGCGCTCTGGCAGCACAGATCGCTGGTGGACATCCCGAAGATGATTAAGAAGGAAACGAAGGAGGATGCCAGCTCCGAGGAGACCAAGAAGCAGAGTCCCGAGGGGAGCCCCACTTCCCGGCAGAGTCTCGAGAAGAGGAACAGCGACGTGACGATCACGAATGACCCTCGTCAGGACGAACCTAAACCCGCTGAAAGGATTCACGTGCCAGACAAGTCTGATTACTTCGAGGACTTCCCGACTCCGGCGGAGAGACCGAAGGCCGTGGAGAGGTCCGAGTACAGAATGCACCAGGAGGAGAGATCTTATTTCATGGGGAACGTCTCGAGGAAAGCGATCATCGAGAAGGAGCGAAAACGCAGCCTCGAAGCTAAACGCAACATGATCGTGGCGGAGCTGAAGGAGAACAATGAAGCTAAAAGGAACGAGAGGAGAAAGAAGTACACGGATGACGAGGATGGTTTGACCCAGAATTTTAGCGAAACGGAGGCGTCGGACGAGGAGTCCACGTACAGTTGCATAGTCGTCAAGGACCAAACGGTGGCGGAGAAAACTCTTCTTCCCAGGACTAAACTCCGTAGGGACTCCGACCGGGAGAGGGATAAAAATACTTGTGGACCTTGGTACGACCTCTGGGGGGTTGACGCCTCCGTGAACAAGAAGAAGAAGAAGAAACAGCAATAAATCTATTGCATTCGCATGGTTCGACTTGTTGAAATCGATAGATATGCGTATACGAGAGTTGATCATGTTTTAAAGTTTATTCACGTTGTTTCGTTGAACGAAGGCGGGGAGCGGCTCTGGATGAAGTCGATTATTTTATTATACCCTTAAGATTTTGTTTCGTTTTAAGTTTATCGTTACATTCCGATTTTAGCATTCCTGTATCTGTTAGAGGTGCTGCCGTCGATTTATAGTTTGTTAATCGATGTATTCATAGTAGCTTTATTGCTAGTAGATTCTGAAGTAGAATACTATACGCGTTTTATCGTCTCGCGTCTTATGACAATTTTTATGTTGTTCTACGCATCGTATGTTCTATGCATGCTTTACACTTTCTGTGTCCGCGTATTTCCACGCGCGGTAATTTCTCGCGCTGTATATCAGCGGGGTTTCACGTGTTCTATTATTCCTACACGTTAAAATTCTATGAATCACAAATTATAATTCCATCTTATTATCACATCTCGTATTTCTACGCACAATAATTCCACGCGTTGCAATTCCATGTTCTGTATTTTCACGCGTGGTAATTCCATGTTCTTTATTTTCACGCGTTGTAATTCTATGTTCTGTACTTTCACATATTGTATTATTGCTGCGCGTTATATTCCCACGCGTCATAATTCTACAGGTCTTATTTCCACGCGTCGTATTTCTACGCACAGTAATTCCACGCGTCGTAATTCCATGTTCTGTATTTTCACGCGTTGTATTATTGCTACGCGTTATATTTTCACGCATCATAATTCTATAGGTCTTATTTCCACGCGTCATATTTCTACGTACAGTAATTCCACGCGTCGTATTTCTACGCACAGTAATTCCACGCGTCGTAATTCCATGTGTCGTATTTTCACGCGTTGTAATATTGCTTCGTGTTATATCTCCACGCGTCGTATTTCTACATACAGTAATTCCACGCGTCGTATTTCTACGCACAGTAATTCCACGCGTCGTAATTCCATGTGTCGTATTTTCACGCGTTGTAATATTGCTACGTGTTATATCTCCATTCGACATAATTCCCTGGTTCTTATTTCCACGCGTCATATTTCTACGCGTTATAATTCCATGCTCTGTATTCTCACGCGTTATAATTCCATGTTCTGTATTCTCACGCGTTGTAATTCCATGTTCTGTATTTTCATGTATCACAATTCCACAGGTCTTAATTTCCACTCGTCGTATTCCTACGCAGTGATTCCACGCGTCGCATGTTTTGTATTCTAACGCGTTGTATTACTGCTACGTGTTATATCTCCACGCGCCATAATTCCCCGATTCTTATTCCGACACGTCTTATTTCTACGCACAGTAATTCCACTCGTAATTTTATATGTCGTATTTGTTCACGTTGAATTATTATTGCTATGCATTATATCTTCACACGTCATAACTCCACACGTGATAATTTCACGCACCGTAACTTTACATAAGTATCTCCAGTGTTTTATTTCCACGATATGTTTTCATGAATATGAAATAAAATAAAAAATAGGGACAAATGCGTGATACTTCGACGTATTCAGGCGTCTGCTACATCCACGCGTTACATCGCCGCGCGTTATATCGCCGCACTCTTAGGATTATCTTTATCAGTCAGTATCAATAAGTTATCGTATATCTGAACGATGAATTACGTTGTATTCTACTTCGGTTTACCTTAAGATTTCTCACCAACATAATCGACAGCAGCACCCTTCGCCATGAATGACCGTAAGACACCCGTAGAGCTACATTCCCATTGCTTCACGAAATGTTTAAATCTGTGTTTGTTCGCAAGTATGTATACAATTTGTTATGTTGTCTGACAGTGTTTGCACTTTCGTCGACGCTTGTTTGCAATCAGATTGTAGAACGTGTTGATATTAAGCGTTCGAAGGTAGAGTGCATCAGAATGCGTCCGATATTTTGACGCGTGTTGACACGCAGCCTGTTATTTCGATGGAAAAAAACAACGTTATGGATGATACTTCAATCGTAACTCTTGTTCGATCTATCGTTACAGGATGCTGCAACGATTCATTGATGCTTTGATCGAGTTCAATGCGCTGCACACATAGACACGATAATTTCCCAAATAACGGGGCAATCGTTTCTCTTTCGTGCTTTGTTGTTCGATGGATGATTTGAAAATGAATACGATACTATTTAGCTCTCTCTGTCGTCCCGCGGAAAAATCGATCACCCGCCGCCACAACGACGCGATAGAGGATTTTGAATACAAACAAACTTGTACATTGTTTCTCCCGCGCTATTTTATTTGCATTTACGTCTCGCATGAGACACCGTGTCAATATTTGGTCTTTTGCGCTTTGTTTCGGTACGACGAGAATTTCCAACAAACGGAACAACAGAGAGATTTGATAAACGTTTAGCTCCACCCTCGTTATTAATACATTTACAAATCCGTAGAGAATTATTATTTGCAACGATTCGAGGGATCCCGAAATAATCGGGTTTTCGGCCCTCAAAGGGACGATTGTCCTCGAATCCTTGCATTCGAGGTTTCGGAAATGCGGGAAATTCTGACGATTCGATTTTTGCAGGACAAACGTATTCGCAACGGTAAAGCTGCGCAAAACGAAGACGAACGATCGCTCGGCGCCGGCCTTGTCATGAGATAAGCTCTTCATCTAGATTACATTCCTCGCGTGTAATGTTAGATGCATCAACAAAAGAGGGTGCCTCTCTGTCCGAGAGACAACAGTTCCTTTCAAAAAGCTTCTGAAGCGAGAGATTCCGGGATCTTTCACGGCGTGGATGTCCGTCCAACGCGTCTGAATTCTCTATTCTTTCCAAACAGACCCGTCGTTCATTCACAATTTTTTTCCACGAGACATCTGTTTCCGAGAGCGTTTCATTTTTGAGGGTCAAATTTTGTGGGACCATTTTACGGATCCTTTGTTTCATAGGGAATTGTAGAATCAAAGGACCAATGTTTATTTCAGGTAAGAATTGTTTCGGTGATTTCTTTTGCCGAAGCATGGTAGATAGAAAGCCTTGATTTTCGCGTATATTTCATTTACGTCTACTGCCAATAATCTTGTCGTTTTTAAGACGGTTTTCGAAGCACCGGTATGCTCGTAAAACGTGAATCGCCGAGGATTATGTAGCATATAATCCTGGGATTTACAGCAAGGGGCATACGGAATTTTAATATGAAACTGAATATTTTATTGAATGCCCGAGGATCGAAAATAGAAAACAATACGCAAGAATGCACGAGGTATTTTAACGTCCAATAAAAATATATTGAGTAAAATTAAATTTTGCGTCGCAATTGATTTTCCACGGACTGTCGATTTTTCCGTGGAAATCTGCGAACAAATATTGAATGGAATATTGTTATATTGAATTTCGGAGCGGTCCGTTCTAGACATTGTAAACATTTTCGGAGAAATTGTTGCGCGTTTCATTTTGCGCTGTTGGCTTAATTGATCCCTCGTTGAATTGTGAGAGATAATTACCGAGTTGAAGTATTTTATTAATTCGGTTAACGCGTTCGATGGAAACGTAATTATCTGGAATAAGCGGCGTTAATTTATGGGAAAATTGAGGAATTTGGGAATTTTTAAGTTTTGGGGATTCTGAGGAGTTGAGAAGCTGAAATTGGGGAATTTGGAATTTGGGGAGAGGAATTTGGAGATTTTGAAATTTAGGGAGTTGGGGAATTTTAAATTTAGGGAGTTGGGGAATTTGGAGATTTTTAAATTTAGGGAATTTGGGGAATTTGGAGATTTTGAAATTTATGGAATTTGGGGATTTTGAAATTTAGGGAGTTGGGGAATTTGGAGAATTTGAAACTTAGGGAGTTTGGGAATTTGGGGAATTTGGAGATTTTGAAATTTATGGAATTTGGGGATTTTTAAATTTAGGGAGTTGTGGAATTTGGGGAATTGGAAATTTAGGGAGTTGGGAAATTTAGGGAATTTGGAATTTGGGGTTTTTGAAATTTAGGGAATTTGGGGAATTCGGGGATTTTGAAATTTAAGGAGTTGGGGAATTTGGGGATTTTGAAATTTTTAGAGGGAAATTTGGGGATTTTTGAATTCGGAGATTTGAGAGATTGAAACTAGGGATTTTGGAATTTATGGAGTTTGGGAATTATGGGAATTTAGGGATTTTGAATCTTAGGGAATTTTGAAATTTTTACCTTTGACATTTAAGTAGTTGAGGAATTTTGGGACTTCTTTAATTTTGGAAATTCAGGGATCTGAGAATTTTGGGATTTTGAGATTTGTGCAATTGAAACTGAAGAATTTGGAATTTGAGGATTTTCAAATTTTGGGAGTTAGGGAATTTGGGGATATTCAAAATTTTGTGAGTTCACGGTGATGAGAATTTTTGCATTTGAGGATTTGAGAATTTTGGGGATATTGCAATTTAATCACTGAATTTGAAAATTACAAAATTATCAATTCAAGACTTAACAATTTAAAGACATCAGAATTTAGAGATATAGAAATTCAGCAATTCAGAAATTTGCAAATTTATCCATTAAAACAAAAACTTTCTAATTTTCTAATTTATAAAATGGGAGGCCAGAAAATTTCAAAATTTGTAAATTTATCTCCAAACACAAAAACCTGAGACTCCACTAATTTACAAATCCAGTAATTGATAAACTCTCAAACGCACCCACAAAAGCTTGAAAATTTCCAAATTGCGCCAAGAAACTAAAAAATTCAAATCTTCTCAATAACCTTGAAAAATCCTCCCCAAAAAAATGTCTTCCCAAATCTATAATTTCACAATAAAATACAGAAATTAAAATCACGATACAACGAGGGTTCATCCAAAAATTCATCAAACCTTCACCACAACATAATTTCATTCAGTTACCTTTCCTCCCAATTCCGATTTGCACACGATTCTCGCTATTTGTTATCTTTATCGAGTTTTCGATACGCTCGCGCCTGTAACGACGGTTTATTTCCGGCCAGGTTAATCCTCGATGCCATTTCTACTCCTCCGACTGCGTCGCGTCGTCACGGAATGAAACTTTCATTCTAGACGTCGTAAAGAACTGCTTTATGTTCGTGTTCACGGGTTAAGGCTCGTAAAATTTCACTTCTCATTTTTTTTTCTCCCCTCTCGAGCACCCAACCCTCGTCTATTTCGCTTCCGCGTTGCGAAGCTTTTTCCTTGGCGACCGTCCTCGCTTCTTCGGCTTGGTCGGCCGTGAAAAATAGACCTAGAAGAAAGAAGCATCTCTGATGCTGGTTTCTTTTTTATTTCGACTACGAGAATCGTGTGTTGTCTCTAGGGGGATGCTTTCTAGTTCTGGTGACTTTTGTTCGCTCGACGGTTCTTCAACCCCTATCGTTTATGTTCGTAGATTTTATGGATTAAGTTGGGGCAATAAATAATTGCTGTTGACGCTGATTAATTTTTATTGTTACTCTGAAGGTTATAGGAAGTTTGAAATATTTCCTTTTAATTTTCACTTGTGAATGAAAATTAGAGGAAACACAAAATAAAGAGAAAAGTTGGGAATAAGTAATTTTGGTTTTATGTGTTTGGTCATTTCTTTTTTTAATTGTGAAATTGAACATATTTGTAGTAGATTAATTTAGGTAAAATAATTTTTTATTTTATTTTGTTTAGAGACAATATTGTATCTCTTTCTGAACAGTCCATTAATGCGAGGGGTGGATTGTCTTCCATTTTATAATTTCATAAATATATCAAATACAAAAATTATTACAAAATTTGCTACAAAAGTTATCTGAAAAATAGATAAATTTGTCTAAAAATCATTCCCCCCAAAAAACATAGATTTACCTCAAACAATTCCCCCCAAAAAATATTTAA